TCTGTACTACTAGTGCTGGGGAGGGGCCGGGAAAATAGCTCAGTAGAATAAGCACTTACCTGAGAAGCGCAAGGCCTTGAGTTCAATCCCCGTTACCGCAAAAACAAAATAAAACAAAACAAAAAAACCTAGTACTGGGGAGGCTGAGACAACAGGATCAGTATGAGTCCAAGCTGCATAGCGAGATTCTGTACCAAATAAATAAATAGGTTTTTAAAATCATTAAAATCTTTCTTGCATCTTCATCAAAATGGCTGGTGTAAAGAGCACTTTATTAACCTTGTGAATGATTTAAAATACCTGCAGATGTGGACACAACTCCAGTGAGCCAGTGGTACTAATTAGTAAGGTTTCTTTAGCCCCCTGCTCTAGTGAAGAGGGCTGTCACTGGCCCAGATGTCCTGGGAATGCCAGAAGGCTAGAGGCTCATTCAGAAACAGCTGTGGAAGTAGCAAGGAGCATCGAGCGGCCTGGAGACTGCCCAGATGGGCCTTCATCGGGACGTCACACGCTATTTCTGAGGCAGAGGTCAAAAACAGCTCCCTATAAATGATAACTGGACCCAGACACACCTCCAGGCTTTCCCTACCATGCAGTCCCATACCCACATCCCTTCCCACAAACTAAGGGCTGCAAAGAGTTTGGGCTGGGCTGCAAGCAGCTAAGAGTTTACACCTGGCTGGACCTTGTAACCACCCTGTGACCTCTGCCAATACTTTTCTCTGAATCTCCATTTTCTCATCTGTTAAAAGGGGCCAAGGACCTTTTCCTATAGATATTTGCTGTGCCGGTTAAATAACAATGAGAATCAACACATTCTACAGCCTTACTCTTTCCTCCTCTGCCTCCTACCAGTTGCTTACTTTCTAGCATGTTCTCCAAGGACTCAGAGGCTTTTTTTTTTTTTTTTTTTTTTGCGGAACCAGGGATTGAACTCAGATCCTCGCGTTTGCCAGTCAAGCGCTTATTCTACTGAGCCATCTCCCCGGTCCCACTCAGAGGCATTTTATCTCTCTTTTTTTAAATGTATTTAGTACAGGGTCTACAAGGTCTCACTACACAGATTGGACTCCTATTGATCTTCCTGTTTTCAGCCTCCCAAGCACTGGGATTATAGGCATGTGCCACTATGCCCAGTCTCAGCCACTGTCTCAGCACACTGGGGGGGGGGGCAGGGCTGGCACAGCACATCAGGGATCAAACCCTGGTCCCTGCGCTTGCCTAAGCAGGTACTTTAGTCTGTTAAGCTATCTGGCCCACCTCGGAGGCATTTTGGAAGTCAGTTGCTGTCATGAGAACAAGCATAAATAGCCATTAGGCACTGAGGCCTTCTGCCAACAGCCACATGAGGCAGTGGTCTTGGAAGCAGATCCTCTACCCCAAGAAAATACTCAGATGACTGTGACCCTGGCCAGCACCTCCACAGCGCTGTAAGGGACCAGAGCCAGAGTCACCCAGCTAAGCTGTTTCCAAATTCCTGGCCCTCAGAAACTGAGAGTGATATGGGGAAATAAGTGTAATGCCGAATTTGCTAGACATCAGATAAACCGAGTTCATGTTCTCCAAAATCAAAGAATGAACTCTAAGGAACTCAGGAGGCTAAGAGTAGGAAAGGTTTATTGAGGGCAATAGCTCCTAAGAGACAGGAGGGGACCTGAAAGCAGGTTCCTTCAAAACCCATTTCACAAAGCAAGTTTTATACACAAAATCACAATGTGAATAAAAGGTGGGTCTAAGTTACAATCAACCAAAGGGGAAAATATATATATATATATATATATATATATATATATATATGATACCCTGGATAATTGTGCTGCTGATTTCTGCTGGTCTACTAAAAAAGTATTAGTGCTTTTTTTTTTTTTTTTTCCTTTTTAGTATCTTACTTTTTTTTTAAACCAATTTTGCAGGTTTATGTCTGGTAATCTAAACAACTAATTTGAAGATAACATTATACAATACAGCAACCATTGACTAATTCCTATTACTTTAATGGCATTTTGTAATATTTCTATTTTTTTTTTACCAATTTGTATTCTTTAAAAAAAGATAAAAATAAAAAAAAAATAACAAGCTATGCTCAACCAATAAGGATACAAGTACAGCCACTTAGGTAATATTAATTCAATACGGAAACAGGTCACATAGCAAGTATACTTTGAAAGACAAGGACCTTTTAAGGAAGGGGTGGATCAGGAGGTCTTGGTTATCCACCTGGCTGGGTCTGTCTAGACTATTAGATCAGGTGATACCATTATAGTATAATCTTCAATTTACTAGTTATCCCTTGGAGAGGTATGTAGGCCTGGTCATTCTGTCTTTATCTTTTTTTTTTTTTTTTTTCTTTTTAAGTGTATTTGGTACAGGGTCTTACTATATGGCTTGGATTCATAGTGATCCTCCTGTTTTCAGCTTCCCCAGAGCTATGATGACAGGCATGGGTCACCACACCCAGACTCAGTGGCTTAGCGTGCCCAGGGGTGGGCCGGAGCAATGTGTGGTGCTGGGGATTAAACACTGGTCCCTGTGCTTGCCCAAGCAGGCACTTAGTCCACTGACCTATCTCGCCAGCCCTGCTCTGTCTTTATCTTGAGACCTGGCTTTTGATAGATGTGCCTCCAGCCAGTTGTAATATGTTCTCACTTTCTGTGCTAACTCTCTTCAGGGTCTAGCCCCGTCTGACTGCCTATAATATTCGTATTGTCTATAGTAAGAGAATAAATGTCTGCTCAATTTGGGGAAGTCTGTAATACAGCAAGACATAACTTTCAATAGTATTGCATGAATCAAGGGTTAACACATATCAAATAGACAGGGTCAGTGACTCCAGAAAGGAGAAGCAGAAAGAGACAGCACTAAGCACGGAGCACTGACTGGGTTTAAACCAGGTAGGGCCCCATTCCTGATATGGAAAATCCCAAAATAACAAAGCCACAAAGGGCCAGTGGCCACATATGAAAACAGTTCTGACCGGAGGCCAGCGAAGACAAGCGGCTAGCTGTGTAACAATCAGCTCCAAACTGCCAGAACATTTTTGTTATTATCTTTTATGGGACTTACTACATGTAAAGAACAATTAAAACCAACACCCCTTGTCATACCACCAGTCATTGCCCTTCAGTCTAACTGGAGAATGCTAAATGAAATAATGTGACACATAGATTTTTGCTACCCATACATAGACAGAAATTGCCAGACAGAGCTTCCCCAATCTTGTTCTCTATTTCCAAAGTAGGACAAATTGGAGAAAGCAAATATCCTCCCCTAAGCAGTCCCATAGGTACCCCTCTTCTAGTAAGCCCACCTTAGCTTTACCAATGCCAACAGCCCCCAGTCAGAGCACACCCAAAGTCTTCTCTTTTTTCCACTGTAAGGTATCTGTAAGGTACGCTTACTTAACTGCTGCCTGCTGTTGAATCTCTTCAAAACACAAGTGACTTGACTGTCTTGCTATATAGCACAGTGGTGGCAAGCCTAAGACACATGTGTTATTTTTCTTTTAATTTTTTCCTAAACTAAACCTCAGTATTCAGGTTTAATTGCAGTGTTGGCACCATGCAATAAATAAGTGAGTTTTGAGTTGCAGTTTGGCCACTTGTCTCTAAAAGATTTACATATAGCAGCTCTGAATAAACAGTCCAGCCTCCTTCTCATTTGGTGGTTGTTGTTTCCACAAATCCAAGTTCTCTCTATGCCTCTCTGCTTCAGGTCAAAAACAACATCTTCAACACCCCCCCCCCAACACACACACATACACATACTCTCCAAGGTATGCAGAGAATAAGCTCAAGAATGACAGAAGAAAGGAAAGAAATAACGGTCTCACGCCTAACTAGCTGTGCGGTCTCTGCCTAACCAGCTGTGTGGCCTTGCAACACTATGAGCCTCAGTTTCCTCATATCACTTGGACAATCCAAGTGAAACTCAGAGATCGGAGTGAGCCTCAAATGACGTAATGTGTTCAGTGCACCAAGCATAAAGTAGATGCTGAATAAAGCAAAAGCCAGCCATCACGTCAGCCTCCACACAACCTTCCAGAGCAGGGCGGTCCTGTACCATACCCCATTCATCCCCAACTCTTCCTTCGCAGTTGGTAGGATTTCAGCTGGGTGGAGTCAAGCTTCCAGCTCAGGGTAGGAGTATGTTAGAGTCAGGAGTTGGTCTCGGAAGAAAGATGGGCAAATGGCATAGCTGGGCATTTGATAAGGAAATCCACTGGTCACAAGCAAAGGAAAATTGTCCAGGCTGGATACCTGTATAGTACAAAACAGTATGAATGAAAGCTGTATCCCTGTTTCCAACATGTTGCATATAGTGTCAAACAAGCAGATTAGGCCCAGAAGGGTTTGTGCAAGATATTGACCTTTGTTGCATGGTGGGATTATCAGGTTTTCAATTTTTTTTTCCATTTTGCTAATGTACATTTTCTAAGTAGTCCACAATGACTGTGTTTGTACAAAAAGAAAATAATAAGAAAATCCCAATAACTTATTTTTTAATTAAAAACTAAATGAGGCAGATAGGGGGATATGGGGAAGGAGGCAAAGAACCGGAGCGCATTCCTTACAGCAGCAGGCTTTAGCACCCCTGCAAAGCTGGGGGGCCCTCGAAGAGGCGATGTAAAATGGCCCAGGTCCCAGGACCCCAGCAGAGTGGGCCGTGGTTGTGATCACCAGCTACTCCTCTCATTACCTGGGTTTTAACAAAGAACACAGGATAGATTTAGGGCAGCTTTCCATGAGAACTAGATCTAAGAGCGCCAAATTCTGTAATGAGTATGTTGGGGGAGATTTTCAAGCCCACTACGGACTACCCGGGGAGGGTCCAACTCCACTGTTCCACTGGGCAAGAAAGGAACTGCTAGACCTGCTTCCGGACCCCTCGTGGGGGGAGGAAGACCCCCTGGGGGGAGATTCCCGCCCCCAGACGCCGCGGGGCGGGCGGGGCTGTTGCTAGGGGAGGGGCACCAGCTGCCTGAGCTCAGTGGGGGACGGCGGCGCGCAGAGCCCTCCCGCGCGTTCTCCCACTCCCGCTCCAGCGCCGCCTGTTGCTCGCTGCTCCCAGCCGCAGCTTCCCGCCGAGTGTCCGCGGTAGGTGGCCAGAGAAGGTACCAGCGCGTGGGCACCCACCCGCCTTACTGCCCTCCCCGCTCTCTAGGGGTCAGAGGGCCTCTGGCGCCCTCCACAGTACGAAAGCCGCGAGCCTCCATAGCGCCCAGGACCGCGCATCTAGACCCGGGCGCCGCGCCGCGCCGCCCCGCGATGAACGCAACCTTCCTGAACCACAGCGGCCTGGACGAGGTGGGCGGCGTGGGCGGGAGCGCCGGGACTGCACTCGGAAACCGCAGCCACGGGCTGGGCACGTGGCTAGACTGCTGCCCGGGGGGCGCGCCGCTGGCTGCAAGCGACGGGGTCCCCGCGGGGCTGGCGCCGGACGAGCGCAGCCTGTGGGTGTCGCGGGTGGCGCAGATCGCCGTGCTCTGCGTGCTGTCGCTCACCGTGGTCTTCGGCGTTTTCTTCCTGGGCTGCAACCTGCTCATCAAGTCCGAGAGCATGATCAACTTTCTGGTGGAGGAGCGCCGGCCCTCCAAGGACGTGGGCGCCGCCATCCTGGGGCTGTACTGAGCGCCGGCCAGGAGAAGAAGGGATGTCCCCGGGCACCAGGGCGTGGAGAGGACCGCGGCGGCTGAGGCGCGAGAAGGGACTGTGTGCTCTTCGGCGGGGGCGGGAGAATGAGGGTACTTAATGGGTTTTTTTTGTTGTTGTTTTTGTTAAAAAAAAAAATCCCGGGGCAGGGAGGGTGTGAGCGGGATGCTGTGTCGGGCGAGGGCGCTCGCGTGGGGGTTGGGGGGGCGGCGCGCGCTGCGGGAGCAGAGTGGGCGGGAGCTGTGAAGAATAATCAGTCGCTGCGCTTGTTGGCCTGATTGTGCGTCCGAAGAGAAATTTTGTAATAAAACGGCAGCCGTCGGGCCTCCGGTGGCCTCCCACCTTCGCCCAGTGTGTGTGTGTGAGTGTGTGTACTGGCGAGAAAGGTGGGGAGGTCGTGTACCCTGGTTGGGAAGTACTTTGCGCCGGCCCAGAAAGATTTTACCCGTGTGCCGCCGGGAGCGGTGGGTGCAGCTCTGGGCTCCACACGAGGCCAGCCGGGAAGGGGAGCGGGTTTTCTACAGCAAGCAGAGAGGAGAACGGTTCTTCAAGGCTGCCAGACAGATGAGTCAAATCATTGGAGAACTGTTTTCGGTAAAATGACGGGGGAGGGGGATAAGTACATTAAGTCTAAAAAGGGAAAAACGGCGAAATTCATGCATCAGGACAGTGAACAAATACAATTCAGTTGAGCCAGCTGGGGAAGAGGGAGCTAGATGGAGTTAAAATGTTAGTAAGTTAATGATAAGAGCAACAGCACCACGTAGACTTTTACTTCCCCAATCACAGCCCCAGCCCACCCTCACCAGGAAGTAGACTACAAAGGTAAGGTACTTCCTTGTAGCATGGGGGAGGGGTTTCGAGGAAGTGACCTTCACATGCCTTTGTTTTGTGGAACCTTGGAACCTCCCAGTGTGAGATGCCCCTGGTATCCAGAAACCTCTGCCCCCTGTGGGTGCGAACTTCCCTTAGGGCAGGTTAAGTACTAAGAATAGGAGCAAGGGAGAGGGTGTGGATCTCTTTGAAACTGCAAGTTATGGTTTGGGACTACAGAGAAAGAAGTACTAGGCTTGTGACCTTGCACACCCCTTAGACCTGGTGCCAGCCCCATTCAGACAACCTGGTACTTGGAAGATTTAGGGAAGAGGGCTCTAGTGGATTTCACCTCTTTCCTCTTCCAAGATGGAAGATGGGTGAAGTCTTCACTGGCTTTTAAGCAGTAAGTGGAGAAACTTTTTTGTGCCTTTGGTTTCCGAAGCATATGGAGAAGGTGGTAGGGGAAGTATCTCAGCAAATCGTGCATGGTTACTGACTGAAGGGTCTGGCATCTTCCTGGTTCCTGAGCAGTCCTGTCCATGCACAATCAATACTGGATATGTCTCTTTCCTCTTCATCCTGCTGCCCCAGGGAATCTATTCCAAAGGTCAGGACGGGATAGTGAGGTCAGGGACAGATTCTTTGTCAAGCATCTATGAGACAGATCTTCCAGTATAGACAGTTCCACTGATGGTTTGGTATGACTTGCAGGTAGCCAGCCTGGTCAGGGGAACAGTTTGATTATACAAGCAACATGAATGTCTAGTGCTGGGCAGCACAGGTATCCAGAAGCGGGGCAGCTTGGTGGTCTTCAGAGCACTGCTCAGGGGGCTGCAGAGGGTTACACAGGAGGGCCTCAGGAGGAACCTTGCCTTCAGTTTCTGCGTGGTGGAGAGTGAGCACTGTCAAAACCTTTCTCTAATAAAATGGTCTGCTACTAAAGGCACTGGGGAAAGGAAGGTGATTCTAGAGTTGAATTTCCTGATTTGCTAACAGAGGCAAGCTTCAGTAAGGGGTTTTCTGACTTAAATAAAAAGCACAGTAAAGACACATGTCTGAGCCCTCTTTCCATTAAGTTCAACAGGTATGCAGTTCTGGGCACATGGGCAAGCATGCAAAGGGCAAAGCTCAGGCCTCAAGGAGGAAAACAGCTGGCCTTAGGAGAGGGGAAGGGAGGGGAAGGATCGCACTGTCGCCCTTCTTAGTTGTAAAGTCCTGGTGTGTGTTTACTAACCCTGTTTTGGTACACTCCAGCCAAGGACGGGAACACGAAGCACAGTACTCCAGAGAAGGTCCATACTGGATCAGAATCCATGGGCACTGAGTCTGGAGAGTGGGAAGGGGCCTAGTTCTCAGAGTCCTCCAACCTCTAGTTCTGTGTAGCAAGGCCTCTTCCTAGAGCCAGATGCAGGGGCCAATTACCAGAAAGTGCTGGATTCAGAAAAGAGATTCCTGGGTCCTGGTCTGTGAAATCCTGGATGCTGTGGTTCCTAGCTCCATAACAGGAGGAGTAAAAAATGTCCATGCCTCAGTTTCTTTATTTACAAAATAGGAGTGATAGCACCCATAGCTCCTTGACATGCTGAGTGTTAAATAGCCAGCACAGGGCTTGACAATTAATAAATGCTTAGTAGACATTATTATTATGATTATTGTTAGCTTTGTGTATTTGAACTCTTTTCCAGTAAAACAGATTCTGAAATATGGTCCCCAGGTAGAAATCTAGTAATCGGTGTTTTTAAAGATTTTGTAGTTTTTTGAAGTGCTTTTTGTTTTGCTTTTGTGATACTACGAATTGAAGCCAAGCTTTTGCCCTTTTTTATTTTTATTTTGAGACAGGAACTGGACTTGAATTTGTTATACTCCTGCCTCAGCCTCCAAAAGTATAATCCCTCTTGGGATTATAGGCATGCACACCATGCCAGGCTCATTTTGTAGTTTTAAAGCACTTTCATAAGCAGGATGGAGATAATATGTCAGGTACTTAATGAACCAAGCGCTGAGTTCCTACCTTTGTGAGAAAGGTTTCATTACTACTCGCATGATACAGATGAAGCACAAAAAGCTTCCCTGAGGTCATAAAGCCAGGGCTTTGGTGAGTAAGAGGAGCAGACATTCTCCTAGTTTCCTGCTTCAGTTTAGTGAATTTTCCCAAGTTCAGTCATTCCACTAATGTCAACTGTGAATCTATTGTGGGCTAGGTTCTGGGCAGTGGGTAAGCCAAGACCATCAAGAGGTAGCTGATTCCGTGCGTCTCAGATTTCAGCCAAGCCTGCCATGCCCATTCTCTGAGTCAGAGATGTATTTCTGGGCTCAGATGTAACCTCACCAGCAAGATGTTCTCTGGAAAAGGGAACAGTGGGGAGGGTTTACATTATGACATCCACACACTTTCCTGCTTGGTTATAGAAGCTAAGTTCACTCAGAAAAGTACACAGTGGTGGCTGCTGGAAGTAATCCTCCCTGGACCCCAACCAAGCAGCAGATCTAGAACAGATTTGATTTTTAGAGGAAGTGGTGAGTATAGACAGAAGTATCATGCATCCAGTATTCCAATCTAAGAGAAAAGCAATAAATGTACCCATATGAATGCATGTAGCACACACACACTTGTGACACCAAGGGCTTGTCAGGATTTCTAAGTAGTGTCCTTTGAGTGCAGTCCCTAATCCTCTCATCAAGTAAGATCACACCAAGCATGTGATAATCTGAATTCCAGCTCAAAGCAGAAGGGATAGGTGTGTAGGAGCTTTCCTTTGTGGTAACAGCACTGTTATTTAAATCCGTGTTTCTGATAGGTACATCTCATTTCTTGCACAGGGGGATTCTGATTATTGGAGAACATTAGCTCTGAACAACTTTTAGCCATCAAATCAGCTTTCATGAGATGGCCATCTGGGGGCTCAAGGTCATACCTTCAGTTAAACAGGTGTCAGAGATGACAAGCAAACCAGGTCTTACGCATAAGCCAATGCCAGTGTTTACTAAAAGGCCCATCCCATTGGACACTTCTGGTGCTGGGTGCTGAGCAGGTCACTGAGATGAAACTAGCTAATGTTCTGCCTTCAGATGTTAGTAATGGGACTACAGAAATAATCACGCACATGGAAACCTAGTGTGGCCATATTCTGTTCCTCAATTATTTCTTTTGGGCCCATCACCAGTGGGGATGGAGTTCTGCTGACACCTTTGGACTATCTGTACACTATAATCTTTCTTGCTTTACAGGGGAGAATCTTGTAGAAAGCCTAGGATATGGGTCCTGGACATTGACAGTGACACAGCCAAGTGGACAGAAGCCAACATCTGTCACTAATAACCACTGAACAGACTTCCCAGATCCCTGCTGAGTGAGACCAGGATGTGGGAGGCTGACAGCCACACACTCTGTCTTTGCTCCATAGCTGAAGTTCAGCAAGTGTCCCAGCTACCCTTTGTGCAACTCCAGTCCTCTGACTGGAAGTCTTGCCCCAGGTTCTCCTTCTGTCTCAGCCAAGAGCCAGAGCTTCGGACAGGGACATTTTCCCATTCTCACTAGACTAGAAAGCAAGAAAAAGGAAAGAGGAGGAAGGAGAAAGACAAAGAAAGTGAAAAGGGCAGAAATATGAAAGGAGAGCACAGGGGAGATGAGATAGAGGCCTGGCAAGCGCAAGGGCCTGAGTTCAATTCCCAGTTACTCAAAAAAAAAAAAAAAAAAAAAAAAAAACCAACTAGAGGGAGAAACCAAGAGAGGGAGAAGAGGATGAGAGACAAAGACAGGGGACCCAGCAGTATGAGCAGGATGTACTGGTTTCCCTCCTGCCCCAGGGTCTGTCAACATACAGCTTCTGCTAACCATAGATATTCTCGTGTCTTGGCAGAAAAATGAAGTGAAGCAGCAATTGAGGGTGGCAATGGTTGGGCTTAGAAGAAAGAGCAGTTGCCTGTCTTGGGTGATTCCTCCTCTTCCTCATGGAATTTGTGTCCCCTGCCCACTGTCCATGTCCTAGGCCTTACTGTAACAGCAGCTCTTCCTCAAACCCAAGCCCTTGGCCCAACACTGGGGGATATGCGGGGGGAGCCCAAGAGGTGTGGCCTGGCTCATACAACAGAAATGAACATTCATCAAAGATAGGAGAGTAGGGGGCTGTAACAGTGTGCAGAGCAGTAACACTTGGATTGGAAGAAACACCTCTGATTTAGGCCTGAGTTCAGGAACTCACTCCCACACCTTTTAGCTGTCAGAGAAGTCACTTAACTTTTCAAAGTCTCGGTTTCCTCATGTATAAAATAGGACACACTAATTGACTTCTGTAGACGGTTGGAAAATTCAAAGGAGACTATATGTGAAAAGCTCTTGATCATGTAGTGAA